ATCGTTTACATTTTCTTCTCTTTTTTTTATTTTTAGAATCGCCGCAAGGTGCTTCTTTGATGAGGGCACGATTTGTACGCCTCGTGTCCTTTTTTTTCGCTGCTGCTGCTTCGCCAGGACGATTCCAACAAGGAATAAGCAATTAGGATTTAAACGGCGCATAAAAATGAGGAGTTGTTTAAAACGTGCTTGAAACGTGTAGATTAAGACAAGTGATGCGTGTTGAGAAGCGGCGGGATGATCTGCGTCAGCATGAAGCTTACCGCCTCCGTTTCTGCCGCCGCCACCGCCGCTTCTTTAAGATGGTTCTGGCTAAGCAGGCGTGGAGAGGTTAAAAAGTCCGAGGAGTGAAAAGGCGATCGTGCGTGAAGCGTGAACGAAGGGGGTTGCGAATATTGAAATCTTAATTTCCTGTCGGGAGTGGAAAAATTAGGATGCGGTGATTTTTTCAATTAATTAGAGTTGAAAACCGGAAATGAAACCGCAAAATGATTTTTTTTGTAAAAGTACGGATAACTAGAAAATTAATAGGATCCCGGAAGTATTTTTTGCAGTTTTGGAAAGCTGGATAAATTTTCTATTATCTAGTTTTGATAAATTGATAAATTTGTATAGGGTGTAGTCGTAAATTTGGTTTAAAGTAGTAAATACGTTTTTTGTTTGTTGTTTTTGATACATTTTGATGTTTTACGGAAAAAATATAACTGAAAAATCAAAATTTTAGAATTATTTTGAAATATGCTTAAATTTCCAATAAAATGATGTATATTTGGTGTTTGTGCTATACAGGATGTTGCCGTAAATTTTGTTTAAACTTAAAAAAAAATTCTCATTTTTGCAAGTAAATCGAAAAAATGTTTGAATAAATTTAATTTAAATATTTCAAAAACTGCTCCTCAAATGATTTTAATTTGTCTAAAATAAACACTAAAAATAAAATTCCTACATCGTTAAATTTAAGTATCAAACATCGAGGACGAAGCAAAAAACACACGCCCACATTTTCGGCCGCATTTGCACGATGGATGAAACGCATAAAACATCGAAACAATGGCCCATTTCGCGAATAAAATTTGAACACATTTATTATTTTCGCGAAAATCATAAACGCCCGCCCGCGCGCGCAAAAAAGGGCTTTCTCCCTGCACTTAGTCCAAGTGAAGCGCGACGATGCAAATACGAATGAAATATTTATATATTAAAAAAAAGCGCACACGCTCACTGCGCGAAAAAATGAGAGGACGAGAGAAACGACCGGCAATTATCAGCGGAATTTATGCGTCGCCGTCACTTCCGCCAACCCTTTCGGCTATCTATAAGGGACAGATATTCAAACATCCACCCTTGCTTGCCAGAGACCAGACTAAGGGGTGGAGGCGAGCGGCGGCGGCGAGGACGTCGCGCACCTTGTCAGTTTTTCCATTGCTTAGCTTGCATACACTCACATATCTAAAATTTTAACCAATTTTTTATATACAGTGTGTCAAAATTCATTTTTAGTGATTTAATTACTTTTTTGGCATTTACTCTAAAAGTATTGATGGGATTTTAAAATTTTAAAAAGTTATCGAAAGGTGATTATATTCTACGTAAAATAGTATATTTTTGATAATTCAACCCTTATTTGTTTAGATTTTATTAAGGGTTGATTTCAAAATTAAAAAATATGTTTTATTTTAGTAAAATGTTAATTATGAGAAAAGTATTAAAGATTTTGTAATTATTTTTGAACCAGGTGGAAGTATAATAAATTATCTACAATTTGACACAAGATTTATTAAAATCCAATAATTATATCATATAGTAATTTATTATCAAAGTTTAAACTTTTTGTTGCTTACACCTTGACGATGAAAAATACAATTTCAAGGACATCTGATTTTTAATGCTTTTTGCCTCGCAAAAAATCGAATTTGTCGACTAAAACACATAAGGGAGGGTTGAAGGCATAACAGACGAGGGACATGCGAGTGCCTTATTAATCTCCGCGGAATATGAGCGACCCAGACGGAGCAAAACGCAAAAATAAAAATAAATTCGACTGCGTCGAGGAAACGAACGAAAAATTGTCGGGAAACAAAAGCGGCGCATCATCCCCCTATGCTTTCAACCCCGTTAGGAAAAACAACAAGAGAGGAGAAGAAGAGACGCGACGAACAAATCACCCTTATATGGATGAATTAGGTATAGGTGTAGGTGATATCCATGGAGAGAGTGAACAAAGTGCGCAAGTAAAAAGGATGTACTATACGTGTGAGAGGAGCAGATAAAAATTGCACGATTTTATTAGTCTAGCGTGCGCGCAGACGAAATTTAAACACTCGTAATCAACGTTAAAATATCCACTCCTTTGTTGGCTATAAAAATATCGCCAGATTTTAGTAGCGATAGTTTGACGTCGGGTTTAAGTCACTTGCTATGGACGGAATTTTATCAAATTTTCAGGATCTATGAGGAATTTTATTAGGTTTCATAAAATGTTATTTGATTTTAGAAATATTAAATAGTTTTTGTGGAAATTTGAATTTTCTAAAATTTTGTTTAAATTTATTTAATACCAAGATTAACTTTAAATTACGGGAATACCCTGTATAATTATTGCAAACATTTGATTTTATTTCATTGTGGTATTGTTTAGCTCTTGAAATGTTTTTAAATTTTTGATTTATTACCTATAGTTTTTTAGAAAAACCTAAAAATATGACAAAATTGTGTGTAAAATTTAATTTTTTTTTAGTTTAACTAAAAATTACGAGAGTACCCTGTATAATAATTACATAAAAGTGTTCATAACTTATTGCAGCATTAATTAGCTTCTTAAAACTTTTTAAATTTTTAATTTATTGCTGATAGTTTTCTCGTAAATAATAAAAACATCAAAAAATACAAATTGTAACATTTTGCTTATAATTATTATCTCTGGCGAGTTAATGTAGAATTTGATTTTAAACCACTTTAAGACCGTAATTTTCCGATGACTAACATGGCAATAAAGGGTTGCGACCCTTAGCGCTCCACCAACGTCGGCGGCGTCGCCGGTATTCGAATAAATCATGCATTTTTGTATCGCAAACGTGCGCTAAGTCGGCGCACACATTGCCCACACATAATATAGTATTTAATAAGGGGTAGTAAATTAACAGCCCCGAAAACACCCCACACCATCACTCGGCTGTGTATGCATGCACACACATTACACATTCCAAGCGGCTCGCTTTTCTATACTCGGCAATAAACTAACATCACATTCGGTTCGGGGTGCCAGCGGCGGCGGCGGCGGCGGTGGTGCTGTTCATCCCGTAAGGGATGATGTAATGCGCGCAACACACACGCGGAAGAAACACCAAAACCTTGCAAGAAGCATCTCGAGGCGGGATAATGTATTGTCTTGTAGAGAACACACTCACACCCTACTTTTCACCGCGCTACCCTTGAGAACCACCCCCTTGGAGCAAGAGTACCTCTACACACCCACCCCCAAACGGTGTGTGTTTGCTCACAGGGCACCCGGCGTGGCGTTATTTAGTCGTTTATATTCGATTCCTTCCTTGCGCAACCCTTTCCATTCTTACACATCCTACAGGATGTACAGGGTGATGGCATAAAATTCATATTATTATTTGGTATCTATATGAAGTCAAAGAGTATCTGAAGGTCTTAGAAAGGCAGGAAAATGCGCCGGATGTGCGTACGCTGTGGAGGGTGCGCGTGAAGATGTGTGCGTTTATTATAACTGTTATTAAATATCGTCCTCCAGGACGAGCGACGAGATCCTGCGCCAGGATGTCCCGTTCACGGAACCGGGGAACTTAAACTTGAACACGCGCGTGTGCTGGCGTGCGTAGAGGTGGTTGTTTTGCGAAAATTATTTTATCAAAGGATAATGCAGGATCACACGTGGCTGTGATCGTTTTTGAAATAATGGGGTGTTATTTATGTTGGAAACGTGAAACGCCAAATTGAACATCAACTTTGAGCCCTTCTAGTTTAATAGATATTTGAGCAATATTCTAGGGGGATGGTTCAAATTAAAGGTAATTTAATCAGGATATTGGGTGGATTTTTAATAAAATTTTATAATTGGAAAATCATCCCTTAATTTTAAATTAATTAAAAAATTTCAAAATTTTGTTGTATTAAATTTTATTTTAGTTTAAAGTTAATTTGTGAGAGTACCCTGTAATATTTTAACAATAATTAGCGTGTATTTTATGACGGCTTTAATTAGGTTCTTAAAACTGTTTAAATTTTTAATTTATTGTTGATAGTTTTCTTGTAAATGATGAAAATGTAAGAAAATTGCAAATTTTAATTTTCATAAAATTTTATAAATAGAAAATCTTGCTTTAATTAACGTTTTTACTGTTTTAATGAATTTTCTTTAAAAATGGTTAAATACCTCATTTTATCTTTGATTAATAGACGGAAAAACCCATTTCCTTAAAGAAAACCCATCTATATTGTCGATTCCTTGCGGCATCTTGCGCATCCCCCGTAATAAAAGTAATAAAACCGGATCACTTTTTCATAAATCGCCTCTACGCGCGGCGTGGTTTAATTTTTTCCATGCTTCCAAATTCTTTTCGGTTTGCCTAATGGAAATTGCGCAAAGGGGTTGCGGTATATGCCCGGCGCCTCCACCGTCGCCTTATCCGAACGAGAAAAAAACGCCATTAGTTTGGGCGCTAAGCATAATGGGCTCGCTTTGACTTCTCCGGGATGGATTTTTTAATATAATAATATCAATAATTTATATAAGCCGACGCCGCGCAGCCACCCCCGATTGCAATTTTTACAGCTTTTTCTCTCGCATCGTCTTGGGAGACGCGGAGGGTGGTAGAATGGAGGACAACAACGATTTAAATTAGGCAATAACCGCCAAGCAAGTAAAATAGGGATGCGGGTGGATGCTTTTCAGGGGTGGAAGTAATATTTTAGCTTTAATATTTTTATTTCTCTGCGTTTTATTGCCTAATCGATTCTTTTAAAAATGCTTTCAGACTTTGTTGCCGTATTCGCCGCCCCTGTTCACTCCGGATCGCCTTATTGTGAACGAGAGTAATAGTCTTCTTGCTGCTTGTGGAGCCAACGGGGTGCTTGTCTTTGAATTACCATCCCTTACACCTCCATATGGGACTTTTTACAACAACAAAGACGTCAATTATGTCAGGTATGAAATTTATTATTATTTATAAGAATTTTACGAATATACGCGATTTTTGTTCGCCACCCTTTGACCGTACGAAGATTTATGAACTTGCGAACGTAAAAGAACCCTCCACGCCGGACACAAAATAAAAGTAACCCTTTTATGAACTCGCATGCGAAGCGAGAAGCGAACCCTCTCTTTGGCGATTTTTTTTTCGTGTTGATATTCTGATTTTATTCATTCGTGTCGATTTTTTTTTCGTTTGCGTCTGGTGAGTATGTGTATGTGTGGGGCATTGGAGGCGGCATTTGGGGTGCGTTGGTACAGGTTGCTTAAACAATGATTCGCAATTTGAAGGTCCTCGGACGTTGTGCATCGTCAAGGCTTGTTAAAGTGCTACCCTCTTAACGCGCGCGAGGGTTGGCACCAATCGATAAATTAGAGAATCATATAGGGGTTGTTTGACCACGCAGTATAAAGGTACACGTGGTTTTTTCAGATTTTATGTTGATTTTTATCATTTTGTAAAAAATTTAATTTTTTGATTTTTGGAGATTTAAACGCAATTTTTCAACTTTTAAGGGATGATTTTTTAAATTTAATTTATTATTTATATTTCTGTTCATTTTTTGTAATTTTTGCTAAAATTACAATGTTTATTAAAACAAATTAATTTTAAGTGAATCTTTGTGATTTTCTCTATGAAACGAGTGTATTAAGCCGCCCCCTATGAAAAGATAAGACTCTTTCCCACTCCTAAACACTAACAAACCATCACCCACCCGTTTGCGCCTCCATCCCCACAACCAGGTGTATAATTATTTGTATTTGCTTTCTCGACGGCGGCGGCGGCGGTGAAATTCGCATGCGAAGCGTGTACAAGCGTTTGCATCGCGCAGGTGGGGGCGGCGGGTATTTAGCGCGCCTCTCTTAAAACTTCGGCAATATAACACCGGATTAACGGGGGGCGGCCGCCACCGCCCGCCGAAATATATCTACTCGCCAGCTCGCGCGCGCTCTCACGCGCCCCGCTTTGCAATTCTAATCTTTTATTACATATATCCGCGATGCTGCGCGCCGCATCTCGACTTTTGTCTTTTGCCACCCCCTTACACTACCGTCGGTGCCGCCACCGCTGCTGCCTCCCACTACTAACCTACCCGACGACGGCGTTCCACACCGGCGTTCGTTGAAGTCACCTTCCCCGCGCCTGCTTCTGCAACCGCCTCCGCCGCCGCATGCTGCCGCCTCGAATAAATTATATTATATAAAATATATCCGCGACGAAAATATATACTCATTATGATTATTTATTGTTCAAGTTCCGCATTATTATTGCGCAAGTTTGGAGTGAAGTGGGGGCGCGGTGAGGGGCGGCGACGTGAAGGTGCAAATGGCAATCTCGAGTTCTTTCCGAGTGTGGCAGCACGCCTAATGCGGATTAATTAATTAATGTAGTTTTGTCGTTCCTAATTCTTCATTATCTCAGTGTGCGCGGACGCGCACCTCTCGGCGGTAATTAAGAGGCGCGAAATCAAGGACTGCGAAGGAGGAAAAATTTATTATTTTGCCACCTTGCACACAGAATTTTGTCAGCTTTTAGCTACTGTTTGGATAATTAAAATATCGCCAGTGGTTTTCGAGTAATTTATGAAAATATCTTAAAAGCACGGTTGAAAATAAAAATAAAATTTATTTTTAACTTTAACTTACGTTTAAACAAAAACTAATTAGTAAAAATTAATTTATAATATTGGAAATTATAGATAATTTATTTATCTATTTAAAACATTTTACAGATTTAAAATATCTTTTACAGTTTGAGTTTAATTTGAGATTTTCGCAAATCTTGCAGATTTTCAGCTCGATTTATGCCCGAAACGTTGAGATGTGAATAAGAATCTGATTTTATGTATTGGAAAAATGTTTTCGCTTCCGCCGTAGAAAGTTAACGACTTACGCACAATTATAAAGCCGCCATTAACGACCCACAATTGCCATTTGCAAGCTGCAGCGGGCGAAAAATTAAAAAGCGATCCGAATCGACGCTGTGCGCACCGCCGAAAAAATCCAAAGTAATTAGAATTATAGTGGCGGTTTTGTTAAATGGCGTGTGGCGAGCCGTTTCCGTTCGAAGATGACGATGAAGGCGCCGGGCAAACCGCCGAATTTACGCCCGCATCCCCCATTTCACATTTTCGTATTTTCAGAAAGCGGAACGAGCGAAGCCGAACGAATAAATTGATTAAAAAATCTCGGGTAATGAGTTTTTTTTTGCTCTCGGTGTGGGTGTGTATGCGCGGCATCGTATTTCACCCGTCATCTAAGGGTCTTCCGGTTTCCGGCGAGTCCGCGCAGCCCCCATCCGCGTTGGGAAATAATGCGAACGATTAAAAAAGTCGAAGGCTATAGATAGGACTTTGTTTGGTGCTCGCGAAAATGGAAAATTGGGCGGGCGCGATATCTTCTTCTATTTTGGTGTGTGTTAGAGAGGGTGAGGGTTGTGGTATGGGGGTGGTGTTGGCCGCGGGGTAGCGATGGTCGCTGCTGCGGTTTTTTTTGTGTGTTCTGTTCATCTGAGCGCAATGCAAATTGGAAACGTGTGTAAAAATGACAAAGAGCAGAACGACGAGAGGAAGTTGAGAAAACGCGATCGCAGGGGGCGGCTGGATGGAGACGGAAAAACCACGAGGAGCGCGTTTTTAATGTTTTCGGAGTGTAATGAATCACCGTATCTTTCTGATAGATTACGATTACACAAACCATAAAGTTGCGTACTTTTTAATACAATATATGAAATTAATGTTTGAGGGTGGCGGTAACTAATCGCCGGAGATTTTTTTAAATATGTTGTTTTATAGAAGCTTGTTTTATTAATTACTCGAAAACTATTTGAGATAAAAGGAGAATCTTTCAGAAATATATTCAGGAATAAATTCTGCATCTATGTGTGAAATATTTTGTTTGTGAGATTAAATTTCAAAAAGTTATTAACAATTTAAAGTAATTTTGTCAATATTTATATAATGATCACAAATTGGGCTATAACTTTTGATTCAAAGCTGATATCAACAAAATCTTGATGTGGTTTTGTTCAAAATTTAATTCTGAAAAAGTTTCTGAAGAAATCTGGTTCAAAATGTTATTCGTTTTTATGTTATTTGTTAATAACTACAAGAAAACAAGGTATTTTTGCAATCACGTTAAATTTATTTAAAATATTCAACTTTTTCATGTTATTATGGCTAAACTAATTGTTAATCTTTATTTAATTTTAGTATATGATAGGAAATTTAATTTTCTATAACAATTTAATTAAATAAACCCAAAATATTTAATAGTTTTTGCACAATTTTAAAATAACTAAAATATTTCAATTCACTGGTTTCGTAATTTATTTTAAGTGAACTTTATTTAAACCGTTATAATTCGAGATTTAAGCAATAAAAGTTAATAAAAAACATGATAATTAATAGAGAATATACTCTTCTATAAAATATATGTTAAAAACTAAATGAAAATATCACGTACGGATGTTTTGCAGCTTTAAAATGACTAAAATTCTCCCGTGAAGATTTTTTGCGTTTTCCACTCGAGCATTACAATAAAATACAATTTAAAGCGCGAGCGGCGCGGACATGATGAACCGTTATGCGATGTTATAAAACGCTAATTATTCTTTTAATTAATGTAAACATTTTCATAAATAAAGAGCGGTAGAGCTTGCCGTTCATTTTTCTCATCTTTCGCAGGCGCACACACCTACACACCTGCACACACATGTTTGTTGCATTAAAACTCGTCTCTGGTAATAAAATAAATAAAAACGAATACGAAACCGAGAAAGCGGAGCTGTGCCCTCGGCATCACCGACAGAGGAGTAATATATTCGCATGCATGACGCGCAGGAACCAAAGAACTCCTGCCCGGCCACATCCCTCGGCTGACGTTAATTTTTCCTAATTAGCCAAGGCAAAAGAGCATTATTACATCTGACTGTTTGCCGACGGCCAGGCAGAGCGCCTAAATAACAAACACCGACGCGTTGTGAGGGGGTGGCTTCTGCAGCCGAAGGGGGTGGCAAGTTGAGTTTTCCATTTCGGGCCCTCTGCACACGCGTTGCGCAACGAGTGTTGGTCATTATTATAAATAAAGTATAAAGTTTCAAGTGAGCTAGGACCGACACGTCATAATTTCATTCCACGGCGACTTATTCAGGACTCGAATAATTTTCACACTTTTTTCGCTCCCGCATGCCACATTCATTTAATTCTAGAGAAAAACTATTTTTTTAATTATAATTATTTTGTTTTGAAGGACCTTTAAGAGATATTTGTATTTTTGTAAAAATTATTTTGAAAGTTTTAAGATTAAAGCACGATGCAAATGAAAATAAATTGTTTTTTCTTTGCGCGGCGCCGAAAGGTCCTTTAAACATTATTATCATTATCCTGCGCGCATCCCCCCGCCTCCTCCCCCGTTCAGGCCGTTACGTCGCGAAGAATTTTAGAAAGGTGCGCACCGTGCGCAATGTCAGTTATTACCATTAGTCCTGCCGCAGTGTAATATTCTAGTATGTGTGCAGGATGAGGAAATGCCAGGATGAGCAGGACGAGGACGAGTCCTGACTGCGGAGGCTCGATTACGCAAGGAGGACATTAAAAAGTTTCGCACGCCGCGGAAATGCGTCACAATTATGAGCGCCCGGCGTGCGGAATGCTCACATTGCTCACATTCGAATGAATTATTGTTGAAGGGGGGTGTGGGCGTGTAAGGGTAAACAATGTGTGGGAAAATTTGCAAGGATTCTTTGTGAAAATTGAGTTTTTCTCATGATTTTCACTCTATTTGCTTAGTTTGGTAGCTGTTTTAATGAAAGTCCAACTTTGAATTGTTATAAAATGTGAATGGTGCGGTGAAAATGTTGGGGATTGTTTTAATTTGTTGATAATTTAATTGAGAATATAAATATGTAGAGTTTTCTCAAATATTTCTGATAGTTTTTGAAATATTTCAAATTT